AAAGTTGACATATAATTGATTATATTATTATTTCTATTATAATCAATTATATTATACCTCAATTTTTATGTTAAAAAATTAAGTTTTTAAAGCCAAATCAAGTTAATTTTTGGTAGGCTTCTTTGAATTCTTTTTTTGAGAAAAACTTGAACCAAACAGGACTTTATTAAAGTCTATTAACTTCAAATGTTGACTTCCCTACATTCTTTTTTATTTATTTTTGGCAACCAAACCCGCCTTAAATTGTCATATAATCAGTTAACTAGTTTTGTAACTAATTATTTTCTCTTACACAGGATTTTATCTTTCATCCACTAAGTCGTCATTCTATTCGGTGCAAACCAAACATGCCCTTAGAGTTTAAATAGTTATATTGTATGTTGAAGAGTTAAAATCTTCAAAAAAATTTTGGGGGTGCTCAGGGTCAAGCCTAAGATTCTTCACAAAATATTGTTGGAGAGATTGATTGCCCACGACATATTTAGACAAATTTTAAAATCAAGAAATTAATTTAGTAATTTTTCAATTTTTTTTATAAAAATCTCTTTATATTTATTACCTGTATTAGATTTCGATTAATTTAAAATTAAGTTACGTTAGATTTTATTTTTAAGTTTTTATTTATTTAAACAAACACAACCCAATTGAAAGTGCCTGCGAGGGCTGCATTAAATCAGAAAATATCTGTCTTAAGGTTTGCGCAAGCGAGTTTGGTTTCCTCTTTTCTATAAAATATTCACCTCGTTGGAAACTCAGTATTAAAGTTTTCTTTCCTCCTACCCCTTTTTTTTTTTTTTTAAAAAAAAAAACAATTTACAGACATGTCTGGGCCAATTCAGAAGATATTTCTGGGGAAGCTATTACTGCCACAACTTTTTTTTTAGCCGATTTAGTAAAGAAATCAAACTCTATGGTACGAAAGTCAAGGTAAAATGTTGTTAGTAGGATTGGCAAAAAAATTAAAAATTGAGGAAATTATAATCGAGGGGTATGTTTTCAATGGTTTTTAAACTTTTTCGAGGCTTTTTAGTCATTTTTTAAATTAAATTATTTATTAATTTAAATAATTTTTAATTTTTAATAATAGAAATTAATAAAAAATTCAAAAAAAAACCATAAAATATTAAAATATTTTTTAAAATTAAAACTAAAACCAATTCAAATGATTACTCTCAAAAGTACAATATTAAAATTGATAAAAAAAATTTATTTAATTAATTATTAATAAAATTTAAAATCTAAAATTTTAATTAATCAATAATTTAACTTCAATTATAACTAAATTTTAGCTGTGCCACCCCCAGTTGTTAATATGCATGGTAGTACTAATTTGCACTCTTTGGATTCTCATTGGTCAGTGCCGAGGAGTTGGCCAGGTCTTGTTCGAATGATCCTATCTAGAAGTGACGGTGGCAATTCATTTGACGATAGAATAAGATGGAGAAAAATTCAAAAAGGTACAAGCAATTGGTATGGGGGGTGGGGAATTACACGCGTGTCTTATTGAGGTTGGTAAGCTATTCACTTAATTTGAAGATTGAATCTTTAATTATTAATTTTTAACAATATTAACCTATTAATTATTACTTAAAAAAAAAAAAAAGAAGCTAGGAATAGCAGTGACAGATTCATGATGGCTGAAGTATACGCTTAATATTTTATCCACATTCCTCGTTTTTTATTATAAAATTTTTAATTTTTAAATTTAAAAATTCAAAGGTTTTAGTTTTAAGTTAACAAAATTTGTTAATTTTTTATTAAAATAAAAATAAAATATTTATAAGATCAGTTTTTAAAAATTAAAAATATAATAATTTAGTTTTAAAAGTTTAAAAATTAAAAAATAATAAATTTAAAATAATTAATAAATGACTTTGTCATATACATTAGAATAATATTAAATATCTATAATTAAATTGAGTGATTAACTCAATTTGAAGAAATAATTTTGACTGAGATTAAATAAAATTTTTTAGTTAAATTAAAATAAAAAATTTAAGAGACTGAAAGAATACAGTTGATTTTTTTTTTTAATCTCAATCAGATTTCCTTTTTGTAATTGAGCCAATCACTTGATTTGATTATAAATATCTAATATTATTTTTGTGTATATGACAAAGTCATTTACTAATTATTTTCAATTTACTATTTTTTAATTTTTAATTAAACTTTTGAAACTAAATTGTTACATTTTTAATTTTTGAGGAGTGATAATGTAAATTTTTTATTCTCACTTTAGCATAGAATTAATGGATTCCGTTAATATCCAAGGATTAAAATTTTTAAATCTTTATATTTTAGAAAGCGGTATTATAAATACAACCTTTTTATATCATTTTTTTATATAACTTTCACATATTATTAAATGAGTGAATGCATTCAATATCACGAATTTCATATAAATTAAAAGAACTAATTATTTAAATGATACATCAAGTTATAAAAGAAGTGATATATATATAAAATTGTCTTCAAATCATTTCTCTATTTTAGAAGCTAAAAACTTCATAATGTAAAATAAAGGATTAACAACCTCAATTTTATTCAAATAAAGGATTAAATGTATATTTTAACTAATGTATGAATCATGCCATCAGTTTGGCACGAGTTGACCTAGTCACTTATTCTTTTAATGGGAACACTATCCTGCGTTTGATGTCTCATTTTTTGGGAAATCCCTTTCTCCCACCGTCATAGTATGGGATGAATGTTTTGAAAATTGCCTCGTTCAAAAATGTTTAATGCTATCTATTGCCAACCGCCGGTCTAACCAGCTGTTCTATTGCAAAAAAAAAAATTTAATTAAATATAAATTTTATATTAAAATTTATATACATAATTTTCACATATTATATAATAATGAGCAGATGTGGCCATCAATGATGGCTAAAGCCAAACAAGGAGGGCTTGATGTGATTCAGACTTACGTCTTCTGGAACCTTCATGAGCCGCAACCTGGCCAGCTACGTACCTTATATATACCTAAACATTCATTCTTGTCTATTACCAACCGCCGGTTAACCAGCTTTCCTATTGTGCAGGTGCAAGTCTCCGTTAGAATCCAACAACTATTCCACTGGGCATAGATCCAAATATCAAATTTAGCAATAATGTAAGTATAATGTTATATAAAATTATTAATTTATAATTATAATATATTATTAAATGAGTAATATATAAAATTTTAAATAACTTTAAATGTTAAATTTATTAATAAGTAAATATCATTATTTAGATTAGATTTAGAATTCAAATCATAAAATCAATATCTAAAAAATTTAATTTTTTTAAATGCATCATATTGATATGGGATGCCTATAAAATTGTTTGAAAAAAAAAGTAGTTTCAAAATTTATAAAAGTTCACAAATACCCAAAAAATGGAGAGAGGTTGTAAATAAAAAATAATTATATCATACCATACTATAATTATAAATTTATAATATATTGTGATAATATAAATTTATCTTTTTAGAGTTAATTAAGAGCAAATAGTTAGATTAATTTGAAAGGTGTTGCGCACTTACACCTTAAGAATTAAGTAAACAAAAAAGGGAAATTACAAAAAAAAAAAAAAAAAAACTAATTCTGACTACGTACTACTTTATAGTTCTTAGCAATCCATTTCTCAAAATAAAAAGAAAAATTCAAAATGCATCCAATTTCTTCCCCAAAAAAAATGTTATATTGCAATCGTTTGC